ACCACCCCCAGTGTGGCAAGAAAGGGCCAAGAGGGCCTAGAGAGTGAGTCCTTTGTTCTGAGGACTTGTATAGTGGGTGGGATGAGGGTGAGGGAGTTACATATTCATTGACAGTGAAGGTGGTGCCAGCTTCCCCCAGGGAGACGTGACTACTCAAACACAGGTATGTGTGGGGGTCTGTTAGCCCGAGTCCTTATCTTGCTCCAGACTCTATTTGCTCATATTGCATACGTGATGGGAGACAGGCAGTCAACCAAAGTTGTTTTATGGGCTCTCTCTTTGGGCACTGTAGGCCCTCCCATTCCCCCTTCTAGGCCTTGGAATGAATACATAGTCTCAAGATTTTCCTTTTCCCAGCTAGTGGAGATGATACATACAGACTTTCAAAGGCTCCCCGCCACCCCGCACTATTGTAGTTTTGCTTGTTGCCAGGAATGCCTGGCAGCCTTATCGAGCCAGGCTCAGGACTACTGGGTCAATGGGTGAGACGTGCCTTCCTTTGCTTTGAGCCTCCTGTATTAAGTTCTTTGTTAGATTGCAATGGTGAGGACCCTGACCTTGTTTCCCCTCTGGCCCCTCATTCCTAGTTGCTACCTAACTGCTAAAAGGTGTTGCCTGGCAACCAGGAAAGCTGCTGGCCAGCAACAGGAGCACTGTCTCAGAGCTCTTCCTATGCTATCTCCTGTGTCATAGAGATCCTCTTCTTCTTTAGGTTTGATTTTCAAATGACTTGGGTTACTAGAAATCCCTTCTGTAAAAATAAATGCTTCCCTTTACTTTTGCTTCTTTTATAAAAGCTGCTGCTCTCCTGGTCTGCTTACTGCTGCTTTTCAACTGATGGAATATTTCTTCTTTTCATTTTGAGTCGATGAGAACTTCCGTGAGACTCTGTCTCACTTCTGTGAGACAGAGTGAGGTTTGATTTTTGTAGTATGGCTAGTTGTGTTCTTTTTCTCTGAAATTACAGACAAGCAAGAAGTAAGCCTCCTCTGCTGCAGTGATAAAGGAAGTTCCTTTGGCCTCTATTCTTTGCGGGGAAGGATATAAATTTAGTTGGCAACTTAAATATGCTTTCAGAGTGAGTGAAGCTGCTGTTACTTTGGACAATTTAAAGACCTTGTCAGTTACCTCTCGTTTCTTATTTTACAGGAAAGCTAAACAGATTTATTTGTTTCACTTTTGGGGGGTCAGAATAGTTAGGAATTTAGAATAAAGGAAGCAAGCTACCTTTCACTAACTAGTAACTTCTTATTTCTCTTTACCCTGCTTTTTCCATTTTCTAGCAGTAAATTATAAAATTCTTAGAAAGAAGTACTACTTCAAAATCTCATCCCTGACACAAGTCACATTTTGGCTCTTCTTTAAATGTCTTCAGAAAAGTCACTTGTGGTACCAGATTTCTAATGACTTTTACAAAACAGGATTTAGGATTTGGGATCAGTCTGCCTGTGTAGAATTGGTTCACTTCATAATTGTTAGAGCTGCAACAGGTGAACAAAATTCCTTTTCTTGCAAATCCTCATTTTCCTTTCTAAGTTTTTTATTTTTCAGAATGGATACCCATTTGGGCACATTTTAATAACTACTAGAGGAAATCTTGGGACAATGGTTTCAATTGTAGATGAATTTGCTCTGCTTTAGCAACATTGTACATTTGTTCCAGGAGGCTACAGAGATGGCACATTGGAGTCACTTTTTGTTTCAATTGGTTATTTGGAGAGGTCTTTGTGGCATCTGAAAAACACTTTAATTGGCGTCTCTCTCAAAACCGTTTCTACTTTCTCTAAACCTAAACTAATTCATGCACAGTCTTAAGGTTTGCTAAGGTGTATTTCCTTAGTTCTGCTTTGATCCTTTTCTACAGAAAATTTATCTGACATCAAAGCCTCTTCCCTTCCTTCTGGTGTAAAGTTGTTGAGAGCTGTAGCAGACCATTGCTCAGCCTCAGGCCCAGCATAGTGAGTGCAGAATGTACCCCCAAATAAAAGGAATTCAGAAAATCAGAAGACATCATAATTATTGGGGCTAAGAAAAGGGAGAGGAATTGTTTCTGGAGGGTAAAAACACAATTGACAAAGCCAGCATGAAGGTCTTTGTTGAATGAAGAACCCTAAATCAGGCTGAAGGGAATGATGTCAGGAGAGCAACAATTTCAGCAGTTCTATTCCCTGTACATTGTGGGAACAATTATCTGGGAAGCCTGAACTCTGACCCCTGTTTCAGTGGAACAGGGAGACAGATTTCACACTGACAAGTAGCTACCTGGATGATTTGTGTGTTTTTGTCCCTTAGGCAGAGCCTGGGCCTGCCACATGTTCCTTGGTCTCAGAAGAATCCTGAAGTAGGCTGTCCATACATGACCCAAATCACATTCATTGGCACCTGCTCCACTGAGATGTCTGATGCCTGGGGCACTGGTTAAACAGCTGGAAGTGATGCCTATAAGCAGTCCCATTATTACATAACCTACTTCTGACACTTACTAAGTGTAATTTAATGTTTCCTGCAATCCACAGACTTCTTCATAGACAACACAGCACATCATCAGTGTCACCCTTCTCAACCTTGAAATCAGAGCTGGCTTCGTGGGTGTGCAACTTGTACAGTTGCACAGGCTCCGCACTTCAAAGGCCTCACAATTAGTTTAATGTTTTCTGGTACCCTTCTTGAAATTCTTAATTTTTCAACAAGTGGTCCCATTTTTTCTTTTGCATAGAGCCCCTTGCAAATTAGGTAGTCTGCCTGTAACTTACATCCTAGGAGACAGGAATGAGGAGGAAATTGGTCTCCCTGTTTTATTGGGAGAGAGGTAATGAAATGCCTAGAATTATTCCTGGTGAGAGGATCAGGAATTTGGCACCTGTACCCCTGGCTCAGACCACCCACTACTTTCCATCACCCCAGGCCGCTCCCCTGATTTGGATGTGTAGGATCTAAAGATCTTTACAATATGAGATTTGGCTTCTTAAGAAAAGATCCAGCCAACATAACTGATTAAAATGGGATGGATGGAAACTTCAGTCCTTGGCCTTTGCTATGCTCATCTGGGTACCACTGGCCTGATGGCTATAAATGGAAGCCAACTTCCAGGGCAGGAAGTTCAAGGAGACTTCCAAAGGGGAAGGTGGCAGAGGATGGAGCAGAAAGGCACGCCGTCTGCTACACAGAACCATGTGAGAGAGGAAAGACCCTGCAAAAGCAGCACAGAGGTGGGTGTGGGAGTACTCCAGGAGCTGCAGCCAAAATTGGAAGGAGGCTGAGGAAATGCGAGAGATCCTGGCTTGAGACTAACTCACCATATCTTCCAACACACTGTACTGTTTAACCACCCTCTTTCTCCTATCTACCCAAGGCATTCATTTCAGTTGTACCTTAGCTCTAGCACTATTCTGCTCCCTTTTTTGTTAGTTATTTGTCTTCCTTGAAGGACCAAAAGTCATTTAAAGACAGGGACTCTGTTATTCATCTATATTGAGTGTACAGTGAATTAATTCACTTAAGAGAAACATTTACTGAGACCCTATTTTGTGCTGCACATAATTCTAGGCACTAGGGCCAGGAGGTAGAGGGGAGGGAGTGGGCATGGAGATGAATAAGGCACAAGCCCTTCCCTTCAGTCTAAAAGAGACCAGCAACTGAACAAATCACTGCAGTACAATGTGTTTAGTGAGGAGGAATAATTAACTTCCCTGGAGTGGGGGATCATGGAAGGCTTCCCACAGCATTCAAAAAAATGTGTTCCTTGATTGCCTATTCCAAGACAAAACTAAGTAGATAAAATATATAACCACCCTCATTCTACTCCAAAAATTATTGTCACAGATAAACCTGAGTAAACATTAAGGAATGGGCCAGTAGCCCCATTGGAACCTCCTAAGATCAAACCAGCTGCACTTATCATGGATGCATATCATCAGCTGCCCAAGTAGATGAAAGATGTGTGGAGCAGTAGGATCCTTATGATGCCGTTGAACATCCGGTGTGGGAAATCTAGGCAACTACAAATGAGAGGTATTTTTTCTCTGGCCCTGACCTTCATTATTTGGTACAGCTTGTTTGGCGGAGAAACTGAACCACAATAAAAATCGTGTTACCTCTTCCAGGTTTTGGCATATCAGAAACAATGGCTGATGAACCAGTAGAATAACAGGCTTTGAGAGTGTTTCAAGGCAGTTAAGGGGCCTCAGGTAAAAAGATGATACACTTAGAGAAAGTCCTATTTTTTGGTGACAAAGCAATAGGTGCTGAGAGCAAACTGAACCTTGGATTTGAGGTACAAAGAGGGAGGAAGTTTCTGCACATTGCCTACCCTCATTGTCACTAATCAAATATAACGCTTTATCCAGCTTCTTTAAATCCTTTGATATGTCAGGTGGCATCCAATATTTTATTTATATAATTCCTCATTGTTCTTATTACAAAGTAAACACACACTTGTAAAAAAATTTCAAATACATAAGTACATGAAGAAGTGAATGACTCTACCTCAGTCACATCCTCAATTTCACTCCTGAGAAGTAATTGTTACTGAAACTGTAATGTGTGTCCTTCCAGGCTTTTTTTTTGGCATATGTAGGCATATACACATTTGAGAGAGATTTGATATTTTTCACAAATGGGACCATACTGTTTATAGTCTTCGGTTTGCTTCAATGTTGTATTTAATTTTTTTATATATTTTATTTAATCTTTATTGTATTTTTTCCATTACCATTTAGTCCCCTTACATTTCCTTCCCTGCATTAAATATATTCTAAATCAGCACTAGTATGCAACGGCGTGCCCGCTCCAACAAGCACACTTCCCCAGCTCTAGAACTGAATTTGCTTGAACAGAAAGAATCTGACAATCTCTGCTCTCCTGTGCCTGTGATTCTGGGTGAGCCTGACTCAGGCTGTGGGAATATAATATACAAATAGGGGGAGCCTCCATTTTAGCTCCTAGAAGCTGAGTGATTCTAAGTTTATAGATCCTTTTCTTTCCCACTCAGGTCTCCTGAAATGGATGTCACCCACCTGCTCCTGGCCATCCTGCTGGTCTGCCTGTGCTTCCTCACTGCGTGTAGCCACGTGACAACAGAGGAGAAGCCCAGAGATGACAGATGCCTGAGGAGCAACTTGTCCATGAACCTGTTGGATTCCCCCTCTCTCTATCGTGGGTAAGTAGCCTGGCCTGGGGCCCAGCTTCTGGGTTCTAGCCCATAAGAAGGGGCTTTGAGATGTCAAACATGCTCCCCAGGCTGATACCATGATCCATTGCCATAGGTCAGGGCTCCTTCTTGTTCATTCCATGAAATAATTCTAGAATATTAACGCATCTCTTGGCTCATTTGGTTTGCGAAAGCCCTGCATGCCACCTATCCAAAATGCAGCTGAGCATGTTAGAGGATCTGAGAAAGCCTGAGGTGAAGACACTTGATGAATTTGGTTTAACTTAGCATTTCTGAAACTTTTGAATCACAGCACTCCTATCAATGGTAACAAACTTTAGGAAATCCTGTAGAATATAACAGTCTGGGATGAACCAGTTCTGCCATCCCAGGGGTTGACAGTGACTGCTCAGGGAATAATATATCAGGGCCATTAGAGCCACTGGAGAGCTTCTGTTCTGACTTCATCTGCTAACAAACATACTGATTGTATGCCAGGCACTCTGAGGTGAGTACTACTTTTATTCCTACTTGACAGTTGATGAAATTGAAGCTCAGAAAAGTTAAGTAACTAACATAAGGTCACACAATTTTCAATTGGCAGAGCCACCATTCAAACACAGGTGTTTAACTCCAGAACCTAAACTCAAAACTAAAATCCCTTTCTGCCTTACTTCTCACTAGGAAAAGAGGATATTCTGGATGTATCGGTGAAGTAAGTAAGGCAAAGGAAGGGAAGGGAAAATAGAGTCTTAAGAAGGTTAAGTAGGTTGGCTAAGGCTACACAGTTGTTGTATGGCAGAGTCTGGATTTAAATCGGGTCTGCCTGGCTCCAAAGCTCTGCGAAATGGAAAATAAGACTACAGGAAACATAGGTCCACCTGTGTATAAGACACGAGGCCCATTTTCCAGGGCCTTCTGGAATTTTCCCTTTGCCTCCCCCCAGAGGACACTTTGCTCCTAGTCCCTGGCTCCAGGTCAGCAGCCAGGCTAACAAGAACCTGATGGCGTAAGTACCAACATGTGATTCATCCAGCTAGCCTCTCAGCCTCTCCCCGATCCTGGGACATCCCAGAGGCCCCTCAACTCCTCCCACTTCACTGCAGCTCAGGGACCCCAGAAACAACTGTCTTTTCTCTTTCTGTCTCTATTTGAAGCACTAAACAAGAAATCCAAGAACATCAGCAGAAAAGAGGCAGAAAAGAAGAGATCTTCCAAGGTAGGTCTGGCAGTTCCCACTATGGGGTGGGACCACACTTAAAAGAGGAGAACCCCCATGCTTTTGCAAAAACTAAATGATTTTCCAAGCTTACATGTACAAAACAAGCTGACAGCTACCTAAAGACTTCCTGGCCCTGGCTGGTGTGGCTCAGCTGGTTGGAGCATAATCCTGTAACTGAAAGGTTGCAGGTTCGATTCCCAGTCAGGGCACATACTTAGGTTGTGGGTTTGATCCCCAGTCTAGGTGCATGCAGGAGGCAACCAATCGGTGCTTCTTTCTCTCATTAGTATCTCTCTCTCTCTCTCTTCCTCTTCTCTCTCTGAAAGCAATGAAAAAATGTCCTTGGGTGAGGACAAAAAATAAAAATAAAAAATAGCCCTGGCTGGTGTGGCTCAGTGGATTGAGTGCCAGCCTGCAAAACCAAAAGGTTGCTGGTTCAATTCCCAGTTAGGGCACATGCCTGGTTTGCAGGCCACGTCCCCAGCAGGGGGCGCATGAGAGGCAACCACACATTAATGTTTCCCTCTCTTTCTCCTTCCTATCCCCTCTCTCTCTAAAAATAAATAATCAAAATCTTAAAAAAAAAAAAAAAAAAAAAAAAAGAAAGCCTTCCTGGCCTTGAGCCCTGAACTAGACTCTCAAAGAAGCCTAAGGAACTGAGGTTCCCTGAGTAAAATTGTTTACATACTGAGAAGCATCTCCTTGTACTAGCTATCCCCACAACTTTTGCCATATCTGTGTTTCATCTATTTATTAAATATATTTGTTTAAAGTTAAAACTTAAAAAAATCATATAACTATGATAGAAAACCAGTATCACTTGTCATAAGTAGAAGGTAACCTTAAGTTAAATGAAAACAAAACGTTGTTAGTGTATTCTAGCTGAATAGTGTTTCCTGCCAAAGGCTCTAAATCTGCGGCTTGCTCTCTGTGTTAAAAGGAAGATTGGGGAGGCATTAGGGACATGTCACCCAACTGAGCCTTTCAAGTTGAATGAAATTGAAAAAAAAAATCCTTTCTCACTGGGATTCAGCATTATTTAATATTCATTTAAAATCATATGACTATTGTACAGATTCCCATGCTTTGGGGAATACTGGAGTAAGGCATTGTTGAAATGCACACATTATTCCTCTCTTAGTAGGCCTCAGTTTATCAGATCAGCTGTAATAAGAGCAAGGAGTTCTGGACTAGAAATTAGGAAGTAGGACCTGGCACTGTCTGTCTGATCTTGAGAAAGTCCCTGCTCTTCTCTGGGCCTTCTGTAAAGTGTCAAGCAAATCAGATGATTGACAGATAAGACTATATAATTGACAAATATATTTATATGCTAGATACTGGGAATATGGAAGTGAATAAGGGAGACATATCCCCGCTCTCATGGAGTTTACATTCTTGTGAGAAAAACAGCAAGTAAACCAATAACTATGTTAAATAAATTCATAATACGATAAACACTGAAGGAATTAAAGCATGGTAATGAGACAGTGAAGGGAAGAATGGTCAGGGAGGGTGTCTCCAAGGAAGCAGCAATTAAACATAAGACTGAAGTGCTGGCTCCGTGGCTTAGCTGGTTAAAGCGCCTGTCTAGTAAACATAAGACTGAAAAATTCAGTAATCCTCAAACAACAGCAACACCCAATAGAGATTTAATGTGAGCTACATATATAATTCCAAATGTTCTAGTAGCCACATTTTTTAAAAGTAAAAAGAAACACATGCAATTAACTTAATATTTTATTTAACCCAATATATCCAAAATATCATCTTAGTAGGTAAGCAATATGAAAGTTGAGATACTTTATATTTTTTTCTTCTTGCGTTAAGTCTTTGAAACCTAGTTCATATTTTACACTTACATTTCAATTCTGATGCTAATTTTTAACGAAGTCAAATGTAGTTCTAGAAAAACAATGAAGTGCCCAGGCTGGTGTGGCTCAGTTGGCTAGAATGTCATCCTGTAAAATAAAGGCTGCGGGTTGGATTCCCAGCCCGGACACACTTAGGTTGTGTGTTGGATCCCAGATCCCTGATTCTCCCTCCCCATGCTTATGCTCTGGAGGGAGACAGCCAACCAATCAATGGCATCAATATTTCTCTCTACCTCTCTAAAGAGCAATAGGGAAAAGAAATGTCCTCAGGTGAGGATAAAAAAAAAATTTTTTAAGTGTTTAGTGAAAAATTTTTTTACACTGCTTCAGGTTTAAATTAAAATTAAATTTGAAAATGCAGTTCATCAGTTGCACTACACATTTCAAGGGCTCAGTAGCTACATACGGCTAGTGGCTACCTGTGTGGGGCAGCACAGCAAAGAACATTCAGAGTCCATGGAGCAGTAACACTTTTTCTGTGCTGGGTGCACAGAAGGAAGGCCAGTGGGGAAGTGTGGTAAAGAAGGGGGCAGTGGTTGGGGAAGGCAGGTAATGGAGGTGGGGTCAGGGCTAAAGTAAAGTTTAAGTTTTATTCTAAGTGCAAAGAAAAACCTTTGGGGGTGCTTTAAACCAGAGTGGGATGCCATCGTAGGTCTTCCGGGAGGTTCCTTTGGAGCACTGGAGGGTGGATTGCGAGGGGGCCAGAGCAGCAGACAGAACACAGTGGCCTGGCTGGCGCAGGACAGAGGGAGTGAAGTGGTGGACTCCGGATTTATTGTGAAGGCAGAACTGAGAGAGACTGCGCATACACAGGAAAGGAAAAGACAGAATTGGTACTTAAAAACTGTGGAGCTAAGTGGCATCCCCTGGGGAGCGAAGAGGGCCAGGCAGGGCCAGGTCAATTTTGATGAGGATGGAGGAGGAGGGACGTGATATCTGTGACAGGCAGGGCCCCCTGGGGTGCCCGGTACGCAGGAGTGGAGCAGGCAGCGGGCAATGGGTGGGGATGTCTGGCCCAGGGACTCCACAGCCCAAAGATTTCCCAGGCAGAGGTGAGGACTGGTGGGGCAGGAGTGGGTGACATGGGCAGCCCAGGCATTTCCCCACAGAAAAAGGCTTCGATGATGAAGGTGGTGTGGCCCGGGGCCCTGTCGCCGGTTCCCTGTGTAGCCACCTGCAACAGCTGCACTCAGCTGGTGCCCGCCTGCAGTAACCCCTGCGCCTCCTGAGACCCATGCGCCTCCTGCAAGGGCCACTTCTTCCGCAGCGCCTGTTCCTGGCGTGTGCTCAACCACAACTGCTGAGGGCAGCCTCCCTGCGCCTGCAGGGAGCAGCTCTCAGGTAGGTAGCTTTCGCGTGATCCTGGGGACCCTGGTGGGTTGGTGATTTCTAGTAGGTGTGGCTTCTTAGGACTGGGCACAGGTGTGGCTGCCGAGGTCAGGGAATAGCTTTTAGAAGGCAGGACTTAAAGGTGGCCTGGGCTGGGCTAAAATCCAAAATATTATATATGCAGGCTGATCTGAAAGTGTGTGACTGTTTATAGGAACTGAAAGCTCCTCTTCCCTTCGCTGAGCCCATATCAGAAGTCCAGTGGCTTGCTCAGGCCAGTGGCTCTCTCTGGGGTCTGGGGGAAACCCGATTACCCCAGCACTTAAGCTGTGCTTCTCTTAAGAGTTTCTCCTGATCTGACAGCTGGAGGAGACAAGGCAGCCCTCTACCTGGGAACACCTGAAGTTGCCTCCAAAGCCAGGGAATGCAGACCTCCAGACAGAAAGGCAGCAATAAGGAACTACCATTCAGTCTTTCACCTTTTCACCCTTCTAAAGAGCTCCCCACCCCACCCCCAAGAAAAACAGGAAAGGCTACAACTCCATACACAATCTTACTGGGCCTGTCCCCGGGGGAATCTAGAGGCTTCTTTTCCCTGCTGCCTTTCTCCTACTGCTCCCAATAAAAACGGGAGGCTGGTTGTGACTGGGCGATGTCATGGGTCCCTCTATCCAGAAGGTTGTGCCTTAGGAGGCTCCCAAACAAAGAAGCCACTTGTGCCCCCTCCTCCCAGGGATTCCCTGAGGTACAAGGACCTGGGAGAGTTTCTCCGACTCCCAAGCTAAACACTGACTATTGGTCCCCAAGCATTTTAATGCTGATAGCCTAGAGTTGGGGCTCACAAATAAAAAGCAGGTGTTCAAGAATCCTTCCTTAGTCATACCTCAGCTCTGTCAGCTAGTAGTAACCACGCACTGGGCTTGGGCTTGCTGATCTGAAAATAAAAGCAAAGCGCTAAAATGGAGGCCAAAGGCCAGAAGGGGGAGCTTTAACACAGTACTACCACTGGGGAAGAATTCTCAATTACAGACCTCAACAGAATGAAAAGGAAAATCAATTATAAGCCCCAACAGGAAAGGATGTACATTGCATCTCCTATAAGAAATTGACTACCCCAGCAACTTGGTCAATGAGAAATCATCATCTCCCTGAAATATCATTTTTCTCCAATGGGCTTTGGTTCAAAACAACCCCTCCCAACTTCCTCTTTCTCCATAAAATAAAGTTCCTTTCCTTCATTTCTTGGGTTTGCCTTTGTGGTTATAGCATGCTTGTCCTGATTTGAAACTCTTTGCTCTTCCCAAATAAGCCCATTTTTTTGCTGGAAAAGTAACTTTTAAAAACTTTTTTTAAAAGATTTTATATATCTATTTCTAGAGAGGGGAAAGGAAGGAGAGAGGGAGAGAAACATCAATGTGTGGTTGCCTCTGGCATGCCCCCTACTTGGGACCTTGCCGGCAACCGAGACATGTGCCCTGACTGGGAATCAAACCAGCGACCCTTTGGTTTGCAGGCTGGTACTAAATCCACCGAGCCACACCAGCCAGGGCTGCCTTTTTTTTTTTTTTTTTTTGTATTTGTATTTGTATTTATTGATTTCAGAGAGAGAGGGAGAGAAACATCGATTTGTTGTTCCACCTCTTTATGCATTCATTGGTTGATCCTTGTATGTGCCCTGACTGGGGCTGGAACCTGCAACCTTGGTGAACCAGGACAATGCACTAACAAATGGAGCTACCTTGCCAGGTGAAACAACTGAATTTTATTTTTAAGGTCAAAAGTGAGTTGGCAGCAGCCTTTGTCCTGAATTATGGGGGACTGTCACTTAAAATGTCCCAAGCTGTTGCCTGAAATTTAATTTTTAGAGATTCTCTCTGAGTGTGTGAAAAACTGATTGCATCCTTTTATCTTTGGAAGGACCCTGGAAAGGGCAGCACCTGACATACCACTTTGGTGAGACGGGATAGAGGCAGGAGCAGGGTTTGTGAGGAAGGACCAGCTAAGGTCAGGGATTGCATAGAAACTCCCACCACCTTGAGGTACAAGGGCTGCAAATGACATCTACTTGAACTGCCAGGAGGGAGAAAAGCTGAGATGCCACCTGTCAGCGCACCCCAGCAGAATCACTATACGCAGGAAGTTACAAACTGGTGTAAGATGATTTTTTAAAAGGCATGTGTACAAAAAAGTATCTAGAGGCTGAGACAGAAAACTGTGGAGCATTTGCCTCAGCCCTGATAATTGCCATGTATCTCCGTCCTTGGAGGTGAGGACATTGAAGCTCCAGGGCCAGCACAGCTGGAGCCACCTTCCCTAGCCTACTTGTCCACTCACAATCTTCCATCTTTCAAATTCCTTAAAACTCTTTCCTTTCCAAGGACCATGTCCCAACTGAACACCCAGGTTGTGCCTGCAGTGACATAACCTGGACTGGATAGAGTGGGGAACCACTGGGATAGTACAAGAAAAAATATGGAAGCTCTGGCGTAGGCTAGCAACGCAATTCTGTACACTGGGCAAGTCTGTGTTTCTCTGGGCTTCCTTTTACTTGTCTATAAAGTGGGAAGTTCCTACTATTATTCTTGCTGTTCTTGTTATAAATCTGAGATAGTGATGTTTCTTGTGCCTTAACAGGAAATATTGTGGGGGAGAGGAACTACAAGTTGCTTGTTTTGTTTTCTATCATTTAGGCTGCAAGCCCACAGGACAAGAACCTTTTGTACCTTGTACCACAGCTGCTGTTGATAAATGTCATCATTAATGAGAATACTGGGAACATATTGCAGCCACTGCTCCTGTGTTTACCAGACACTGCTCACCACCCAGGCACCATTCGTCCCCCAGGGATGAGGCCAGGGACACAAAGCCAAAGACAGGCCCAGTCCACTAGTGATAAAACCACTTAGCTGCTGGGTCCAGATAACTACATGCGAGACCAACATATTCATCCATTCAGCAAATGTGTACTGAGCACCTATTATGTGCTAGGTGCTATGTATACTGTGAACAAGTCCAATATGGATCCTCTTCTTACAGAACTTATAGTCCAGTGGGCATGACCATTGGCCCTAGCAGAGGTTAGAACAATTGTTAGGAGTGGTTTCCTTTCCTGGGGGAAAAAAAAAACAACCCAGCCATGGCCAGGCTAGATAGTATAGTTCCTTCTTTCCCCATGAAGATTTGATGGCAGAGCCCAGATATCAGGAGTCAGGGTTGGGTTGGAGGCTTAGGAGACATACCATCTTCCATAGTGGGTACCTGGTCAGTGTCACCCATGTTGACAGATTAGCAGACCTGAGATCAGAGGTAAGGCTGAGACCAGACTGGCAGGACATCTCCAAAGAGGAGAGGGGAAAGGGCCTGGATAAAAAACGAGAATCCTTGGGGGACTACATGGGCTCTCACAGATGGGAACGTCTGGAAAGGTATTTTGTGTGTCTGGAAGGAGATGGACAAGGGAAGGGAGTGCGCTAACACACAGGCAGGGGCCCCTTGGAGGGGGCAGCATGGCTGCGATGAGACACAAGGTATTTAACCTCTGGCTCAGATGAACAGCGGCCTCCCTCCTCCCCCACTTTTCTACTGAGAAGTCATTGTCCCAAACACCATCACGGTAGAGTGGCTGAGGTGGGCGTTGTGGGCAGCACTCTCTGGTGGCAGTCTTGCCTTTAGGGAGCTTGGGTTACAGTTCCAGAGTTACTGCTCCAAGTGTTGGAGGGTCCAAAACCAGTCTCCCTTCCTTCTAAACCAGGGCCTGTGGGTGAAGAAAGGGCTTGGATTTGAGGCTGGAATTTCTGCCTAGTACAAAAGCCAGTTCACTCTCATGCCGTCTCTCAGAGCCTGTTTCCTGATTTGTAAAACTGGAGTTTACAAGTCTCTACAAGGTTATCATGAGGAATAAAATAAGTGCCTTCTTAGCACAAAGCCAGGCACACAATTAAGTGTGCAAGAAATAGAGGGCATGGTAATGAATCTTGGTCACTTTTGACCACTGGTGTCATGATCAATTAAGAAATGGGTGCCATGTCATTTGTTACTAATAATCATTTAACTACCAAAGTTTGTATTATTATTTACAGCAGTCATGTCATATATGCATACAACTTATATAATTTAGGATCAGCTAATTTGGCCTCTCTGAACCTCTGTCCTCATAAGTAGCATAGGATTAATAATATTACCTCATAATCAAAAGCTGAGAATACAAAAATGAAGAAGCCACAAGTGTGGGATATTCAATCAAGACCCTTCATTTTGCCAACTGGTGTGGGTCAGCAGGTTGGGCGTCATCCTGCAGACTGAAAGGTTGCAGGTTTGATTCCTGTGATTCCCAGTCAGGGCACAGGCCTGGTTTGCCAGCCAGGTCCCCAGTTGGGAACATGCAAGAGGCAACTGATCTGTTTTTCTCCCTCTTTTCCCCTGTCTTACCCTCTCTCTAAAAATAATAAAATCTTAAAAAAAAAAAAGGGGGGTGTGTGTTACAATTTAGGATCAAGGGTTAAAACTAAAGGTCTCACCTTGATGTTTAAGACCTCTCCTTCCCACCCCCAAGGCCACCTTTCTAGTCCTCTCTTGACCTAAACTACAGCCAAACGACTGTCCTACCCCATACCCCCTTCACTGCCTGGAAAACCCTTGTTTTCAGTATCTTCTGTTAAATTTTCTGTCAGGATCCATTTCAAGCATCATCTTTTCCCTGCTGCCTTTCTCCTACTGCTCCCAACACTGGGCAGATAAAGACGTTCCTGGAGATGGCAAAGCTGTTTGTGTGCCTGCCTTCACCCTCTAGCTTGAGATCCCAGCAGGCTGGCATCAGGTGTCAACCCCCCCCATCAGGCCTTCCATCCAGCAGATGACCCTCAGAGTAGTTTCCAGTTACCTTCCCCAAGTGGGTTCTTATTTTGCTTTGATTTCCAAGACCAGAACGGGGGTTTAATAAATTACCATTTAGGCAGATAGGAGGGAGCCCAACTTTCCACCCACCTTTCTGTTATTTCATTCATGCTAAAGGCTTCTTACAAACTGTGAGACTTTAGGAAAGACACTTAACCTCTCTGAGTCTCCATTCTCATCTATAAAATTAGGATGTTAGTACTAATCTTGTTGTGAGAATAAAGAAAATCAATTACAAAGTCCCCAGCACCCAGGAGGTGCTCAACAACTTATAGTTCCCCATGGAGCATGGGATCAATCCAAAGTGGAAATGGGGAGAAAAAGAATATATAAATTAGGACACAAAAACTAAGGTAGAGGAAATAAATGCAAACAGGAATTACAATAAATATAAAGGGTTAAGTTTACCTATTAAATGACAGTCTTAGATTGGGCTAAAAACAGCTGATTACAAGAGACAGGCCTAAAGCGATAAAAGTTCACTTTACCCACCCTTCCAAGCCCAAGGGTTTGCCTGTTGCCCTTATAACCACACACCCCGTATCTCCATCAGTACACAAATATTACCCCTTGCTCATTGCTAAAATTATTGGCAGTGGATTATCTATATAATAAAGGCTCAAACTTCTTTTAGGCACCAAAATTTTTATTTACCTACCTTCCTGCTCTAACATTATAAGCATTATACATATAAACATTATAAACCCAATTAACCTCTTTTTGATCCAGGGTTGTGACAGAACCATTACAAAGTGGTGGCAGATCTATGTCTGCTTTTAAGATTCTCTGGCCCCTCTCAACCTCTGGCTGTCACTTCTCTTGTCCTTTCTTGGCTGTCCCCTAATGGTATATTTTATAACCCCTGTAAAATAGGGACTGAAAGTACCAACCTCACTGTTCTGAGGTTTAAGAGAATGCCCAGCGCTAAGCAAGGCTCTCAGGAGCATTCAAACTCCAACAGTTCCTCCCTGCCCACTGACGTAGCTCCTTCTCATCTCTCGTGGGCTGAGGAACCAGTGAACCTGTACACCAAGAATGTGGGTACAACATCCGTAGGTCAGGTGAAAGACAGTAAAGTGCACAGGCATTGTGACTGCCACTTCTAATTCTCAGCCTAAGGAAGGACAGACTGAGTGAGCAGTTCCAGAACCTCCGAGCTCATGGTCCCCATGTATACCACATTGACCAGGGCTTGCGGAGGGACTTCACAATTCCCCCTGCCACACATGGAACAGTATGAGGGATGGCCATACTGAGTGACCAGCTCCAGGGAGTCAACGGGGGACATTAACAAACCATTCTCAAAGTTGGCGCCATTTGCTCTTGGGGAGGAGAGATGGGACCTGGGCAAGGACAGCAGCTAGAAGGCAAAAAGGGCAGGCCTGGTTCTCAATAGCGGTAGTGATCTGGCTTGAAGGGGCCGTCACGGGACATGCCCAGGTACTGGGCCTGCTTCTCAGTCAGCTTGGTCAGCTTCACATTCAGCTTGCCAAGGTGAGCTTCAGCTACTGCTTCATCCAGCTGGGGAGAAACACAGGAAGATGTGGAATTAGGACTGTGCTCTGGAACCCCTTACCTTGCAGCCAGCTGCCAATAGAGGCAAGAACTGTTCTGCTGGGGTATCTGCCATGTGTTATACATATTACCTCATCTTACCCTCAGTCACCCTCAGTGGATGTGTTGTTTTTGACTGTCCCCTTCCTCAAAAGGGAGTCATGCTACATCTTCCCCTTCAAGTAACCCTGGTGAGATCATCAATTACATCTCCTTTCTCACCTTCCAACCCAAAAAGCTAACCAAAATGCTTCTCTGGAATTTATCTATGGACAGGGCATTTTTCTTTTCTTTCCTTTTTTTAAAGATTTCATTTATTAATTTTTAGAGAGAGGGGAATGGAGGGAGAAAGAAAGGGAGGGAAACATGGATTGGTTGCCTCTTGCACACCCCCAACTGGGGACCTGGCCCACAACTCAGGCATATGCGCCCTGACCAGGAATTGAACCATCATCTTGTTGGTTCACAGGCCAATGCTCCATCCACTAAGCCACACCACCCAGGGCCAGGGCAGTTTTCACAGTAGGAAGAGACAGGGTCTCTCCAATTTCATTGGGATTCCTAAACAGGGAAGGGTATGAGTATCAGCTTGCTAATGTTAAGTCTATTTGTCAAGTGAAGTGAATGTTAAAAAAAAAAGAGCCAAGAGACAGAGAAACACAGAGCTCTAGTAACACTGAATCCCTGGGTCTACTGTCAGACTCCTCTATTATACAGCATGGGGCAAAAGTAGATTTACAGTTGTGAGTACATGAAATACAGCTTTTTCTTGTATTATTTATTATTTAATTATTTTGCATATAGACAACTGTAAACCTACTTTTGCCTAACCCTGTATAACAAAGTTTCTTTTTAGATTAAATTGGTTGTGGCTGTTTTAAAATGTTTTAACTTCTTTGTTTAGAAATTCATTAATACTCCTTCCTTCAAGAGGTGAAGCCTAATTCTTTACCCCTTGAGTGACTCAATTCTAATGAATAGCATAAAGCAGAAGTGATGGTGTGTGAGTTGGAGACTAGGTCCTAAAAGACACTGCAGCTACCTCCTTTCTTTTCCTGGACCATTTACTCTGGGGAAAGACCAGCTGCCATCTCATGAGGACATTTAACCAGCCTTATGGAGATACCCATGTGGCAAGGAACAAGATCTCCTGCCAACAGTGAAGTGGTTCTTCCAGATCCAGTCTAGCCTTCAGATGGCTGCAACCTCATGAAGAACCTCAAGTCAGAACCACCCCAGTAAGGTGCTCTCAAATTCCTCACCCACAGAAACATAATGTTTATTGTTTAAGCCATAAGTTTTGGGGTTAAATTATCTAGCAATAGATAACTAACACATCAGTTTAAACAGGGTTTCTGTGTACCACTTGCCACCAAAAGGATCCTGACTACTAAACCATTGCCATCCTCCTTTAGAACAAATGTAGAAATCAAGGTTAAAAAAGGTAAAATCACTTGCCCAAGGGCACATAGCTAGTTATTGACAGAGCTAGGATTTGAACCCTGGTCCAAAACCCCAAAACTTGTCTCAAGCACCTCAACTTATGGTCTCCATGGCAGCTTTGAAAAGATGGAACAGAAACCAAGGAGGACAGAGGCTAGGGTTAGATAAAGTCAATTGCTAAGTCTCTCCAGTGCTGAAACTGAAATGCATAAAAGGGGTCTGAAAAGAAGGGAATGTGCTCGTACTTAGAGAAGTGTCAATGGTGGGCAGTGGCAGGGGAATGACATGACTCACTTTCTCAGCTTCTGGCTCTGGGTGGGGCCTCTCTCCATCCCTAATACCCCAAGTCCCATCCTATGATGACACAACAGACTTGGACCACAGCCCAGCCAGAGAACTTTTACATTTCCAAGTGGTTTCACATCCATTGTTTCATTAGAACCTCACAAATACCCCTAAGAGGGGCAGGACTTACTCTTCTATTTAACAAATGAAGAAACTGGGGAGAGGCAGGCAAAGATACGAGCAGAGACCAGCCCCAAATTCATGTTAGTTCTGGAAGCAGATGAAGGTCTCCAATTCCCAGAGTATACATTGAATCCTCCCTTAACTTGGCCTGGCCTAGCCCCGAACACACTTCTTCCTTCCTTCTTGTACCCACACTCAAAAGGCAGTGTGTCATAATGGTAACCAACTTGGACAGACAGTAGAGCTGGGTTCAACTCTTTGCTCAATACTCAACAGCTGTGGGAGCAAGTCAATCTCTGAACCTTAGTTTCCTCATTTGTAGGATGGATCTCTCATGGCCATTACAAAGATCAATGATAGAGTTCTTCACGCAAGTAGATAGCTTCGTAAGTGGGGACTGCTCTCTCTGTCCTTGTTAACCAAGGTGTCTAATCCCTCGCCCACACATCGCATGCGAGGCATGAAGCCAAGGATGTCTTGTCCCCCATTCAGGTCTTGCCAGTGATGAAGGAGGTAAGGTTGGGACCATGTTCTGGGGTGGGAGATGAGATCTTTGCCTTTTTCTTCCAACCCTGATCTCATTTCAAAGGCTTGCCCAATTTCTCACCATATTCACAGCCATCTTTCCTCCAAGTGGGATCAGTTGGAGGTCAAATAAGACAATTTTAACCCCACAACAAGGCTGGGGCCTGGCAGGCTGCACAGAACAGATAGTCCTTGAGGCCCTTATGGGTAAAACATCTGATCCAAGGGAAGTGCCCAAGGAAGATAAGGGGGAAAGGAGTTGCCTGGCTCAGGGGGCAGAGGCCCCAGGCCTTGGAGAGGACACTGGACCTCTTCCTATTTCATTTGGCAGAGCCAGCCTTTCAAGGAGTGAGAGCAGTGGTAATGGAGACTCCATCACAGCCCCTCCAGTAGCCAAATGCTAGATGAGCAAGAGCTACTCTTAACATTTAGCCGATAGGGAAACTGAGGCCCAGACAGACTATGTGGCAAAGCCAAGCTAACTCATGACACTGGCAAAAAAAAAAAAAAAAAGCCAGATCTAAAACACAGTAATTCTGATCACTGGGGGTGTGCACCTTGCATGGGGTGTTAGAATGCACACTGCGTTTGATGTCAGGAAACCTCATTGCCATGGTTACCTTGACCACACATCCATAGCATGTCAGGTGCTATGCTGAGTATGTTAGTGGTATCTCATTCCAAGGCCACAGTCCTACAGCCTGCAGGCTGCATATGGCTTACAGACATATCCAAGATGACCCACCTGGTTATTTTTTAAAACTGTAATAAGTTGCCTATATTTAAAAATTGAGTATTTCATACAAAGATCTTAATATCTGGCTTCTCTTGAAAAGTCGGGAGACCTGTTCCAATGGGCTTGGACTCCCTGCCAAGCCCCGTCCACTCATTCACCTGCCCAATCCCTGTGGGTATGTGCGTTTGTGACCCCCAATCTACAGAAATCCTCACAATCCTTGAAGGAGGCAGAGGAGAAAATAAGAGTCACAAAGAAGTGAAGCAACTTGTCCCAGCTAGACAGCCTCTAAGTGGTAAGGCTGAGATTCAAACACAGGTGTGTCTCACTACAAAGCCCATGCTTCTCTCGCCAGCCAGCTCCTGCCACTCTGGGAGTCATTTCTGACCTTGGGCCTGAGTTTCCTCCTCTGTCAAATGAAGAAAATGATTTCTGCTCTGTGGAATACCCTGTGAGGATCTCTAAGAGGGGAGAGAGGTGAACTCTGGAAGGCCCTGTGTGGTGAGCGCAGGGTTGGAGATGGGTACCCACCTTCTTGGGTAGGAAGTGGACCCCAACGGGGTACTTGTCCGGATGGGTCCACAGTTCAATCTGCGCCAGCACCTGGTTGGTGAAGGAGTTGCTCATCACGAAGCTGGGGTGACCCATCGCACAGCCAAGGTTGACCAGACGACCCTCGGCCAGGAGGATGATGCGGCGCCCATTCTTCAGCCGGTAGCGGTCCACCTGCGGGCGGGCAGAGCATCACGGAGGGCTGGCGGGGCAATGCTCCCAATGTCCACCCCGCCTCATCCTACCCTCCTGTCCAGCAGGCCTCCCTGCTTCCAACAGCACCTGTGAAGGGCCTGGACTACCCTCAAACAACCTCCAGCACAGGCCCTGGCACATTCAATTAGTAATAGGCAATATTTATCAAGTAACTCTGAGCTATAGATCTCACAGGTCTGCTGTGAGAATTTAATGAGCTGCACATGTAAAGCACTTGACACATGGCTTGGCACATACTAAGTACTCAGTATTAAGCTAATGTTGTTATTATTATTATTGCCATGGCCCTTGGGCTAAGAGCATACACAGAACTATATGTATAACTATATGTATGCATATACATACAACTAGTAACAACCCTATGATTTAAGTACTACTATTATCCTCATTTCACAAATAAAAGAAACTAAAATTTAAAGGGTTACACTTTTCTAGAGTCACACACTAAGAAGTAGTTGCAATTTGAGCCTGGAGAGTCTGAGGACAGATCCCATGTTTTCAATCACCATGCTCAGTAAAAGTTGAATGCGAGGCACTAAACCTTGGCTGCACATCAGGATCACCTTGGGACCTTTAAAAAACAGGATGCCCTGGCCTCACTCCAAGACTGATTTAAGTAACCCTGAAACCAGGCCCTCTCCTCCTCATCCTGCTGCCCAGGTTGCCAGAGCCTCCTCGTCTGCCCTCCCTTGGTAGCCAGCCCGTAAGCGTGACCCCTCAGCCCTCCATCTGCCCACCCTGCTGGAAGGGCTGGGGCTTCTCACCTGGGGCTTGATGTTCACTTTCTCTACAGCATTGTCATTCAGCCATTTGACATCAATTTCCACGTCGAAGTGCCCAATGTTACACACAATGGCATCATCCTTCATCTGCTCAAAGTGCCTATGGGGAGCCCAAACCCATGAGACCATCAGGAACAACAAGCAGCCCCAAACCAGCCCCCTTCCCTCGCTCCCCAGGAACTCCTGCCTGGCACCTACCTGCCAAGGATGATGTCAACACAGCCTGTGGTGGTGACAAAGATGTTGCCCTCCCGACAAGCCTCGTCCATGGTAGTCACTTCATAGCCTGTGCAGAGACAGTGGCCATGGGTCATCCAGGATGGCCTTGCCCTTCCTCTGGTCCCAGGGCTGACAGCCAACCCCTGCCCTGTCATACCCTCCATGGCGGCCTGCAGTGCATTGATGGGGTCAATCTCGGTGATGATGACTCGGGCCCCAAAACCCCTCAGGGCCTGGGCACAGCCCTTGCCCACATCGCCATATCCCGCTACCACCGCCACCTTGCCCGCAATCATCACATCTGTGGCCCGCTTGATGCCATCCATGAGCGACTCCCGGCAGCCATAGAGGTTGTCAAATTTGCTCTGAAAGGAGAGGGGACAAGGGGACAATGGGGGCAGGCAACGCCCTGGGGCCTCAGACCCTCTCTCAGCATATAGGCCTGGTGGGCTTTGGGCTGATCATCTATGACTTCTCCCACCAGCTAATGCCCCCATATGCCTCTCACCCTGATCAGCCCCAAGGCCTTCTTGCTAGCCTCTCTGCTGATCCAGAAGGCCTCTTCGGGATCAATTACTAGGAGACATTGTCCAGTCAAAGAATCTCCACTTTAAAGCTCTTGATGCCCAGCTCTCACTGTGTAGCTCTTCCCTTCTTTATTACATTAACTACCCTCAGTCTACAATCTCCTTCTTCCCCTCCGATGAGGCCTTCAAGTCCCTAGCCTGCAGCCTTCCTGGGCTCCTTCCTCAGGGGCCTACTTCTGAGCTGCACTGGGAGCCAACAACTGGAACTTTCATTGCCCCACAGGCTCACCTTTGTGACGGAGTCATTGACGTTGATGGCAGGAACCTTCAGGATCCCGTTGGCCATCATCTTATATAGGTTGTGGACCCCAGTCGTGGTTTCCTCAGAGATGCCTCGGATGCCTGAACATAAAGAGGGGTGAGTCTCAGGCCAGGAAGGGGCTGCCCAAGGGACTGGCCAGGGGAGGGGAGCCTCTGGAATGAAGCCCCAAGAGCCTATACCTTAACTCACCCAAATCCCTCATCTTTGCCCCCTAAAGCCACTCCTCTTTCTGGGTTCCTATCTGTGACTAATACCACAGTCCACCCAATCATCCATCACCAGGCCACTCCCAAACTGCCCAAGCCCTCCGGAACTCCCCATTCCCACTGCCCCTGCCCCAGTCCCGGCTACCATCATTACTCGCCTGAACTCCCAGCCACAACCCATCCTCCACCCCGCAGGCATTTTGAACATGTACATTTTCAGAGAATCTTTTCAAACCCTCCAATTATTTCTATTTGCTTTCAGGATCAGGCCAAATTCTTTTATTTATTTATCTATCTATCTATCTATCTATCTATCCTCACCCAGACTTTTTTTTTCCATTGTCTCCAGAGAGAGGAAGGGAGAGAGAAAGAAAGAAACATTGATATAAAGGAGAAACATCAATTGGTTGCCTTCTCGTACACACCCTGACTGGGGATTGAACCCACAACCTGGGTATGCTCCCTGATCAGTATCTAACCTGTGACCATTTGGTCTATGGAATGATGCTCCAACCAACTGAGCCACACCGGCCAGGGCTCAAGCCAAATTCTTTTAGCCTATTAAGTACTCATACAACTGGCTTTCATTAGAGTTCCAGCCACATCCCATAATACTCCCTCCCAGTGAAGGAAACCGCCATGCTCACTTCCTGTTTCCTAAAGAATCAGTCCTTTCTTGCCTTAGGGCCTTTGCATTCGCTGCCTCCCTCACCCCACTATCCTCTCTGCCCTGCTGTTAACAAAGCAGACTCATTCCCAGACCTGGCTTACGCTTCCTCTTGGACTACCATCTCAGCCAGGCCTCCTCTCCCCCGCCCGGCCCCTCGCCATCAGAAGTCAGGAGGCCAGGCCCCAGCATGCCTGCAGGGATCGGGCATCCTCCCATCTTCCACAGAATCTGCTATGTGAAGTGCTGGGAATCCTGCCAGGCCTACTGCTCCGCATGGGCAGATCGGCTCCATCTAAACTGCCAACACCCAGCCTACCCATTCCCCCAACTCACCTGACAAGAGCTGTGGGTACTTGGTGTGGATGAGGTTGGTGAGGTCACCGCCGTCATCCAGAATCATATTGAGAGGCCCCTCCTTGAAGTACAGAGTCTGCTCAATGCACCACAGGTACTCTTCGTCTGTTTCACCCTTCCAGGCATACACTGGGGGGTGAGTGGCACATCAGGGTCTGCCTTCCTCACTGGTACCAGCTCCAGGGAAACCACCAGGGCAGAGCCAATACTATCTCCTTCCTAATTCCCATGCCCAGCTATGTCCAGCCCCTCTGAGGCCTCAGCAGTGGTAAGAACATAACTTGGGGCCAGAGAGATCTGAGTTCAAATCCTGTCTCTGCACTCGCCAGCTGTGTGACTTTCAGTAAATCACTTCATCTCTCTGAGCCTGTTTCCTCATCTGTAAATGAGGAAAACAGTATGGATTAGGTGAGACTGAGGCCAGATACAGGTAACTGGAAATAACTATTTACTTCCCTACCCCCTTCTGTCTGGGCCCCAAGGAATGAAGCATCGCATCAACCCGGGGACCAAGTTCCCACTCAAAATGCTGGGACAGGATGCTGCAGGGACAGGGCAGCAAACTCAGGTGGACCCACAAGGCAAGATCCAAGGATTTTTCTGCACTGACATGACTTGAGGGCCCAGCAGTCTCTGTGGTGGGTGGTCTCGGGCAAAGTCTAGCCAAAAAATTACTAATAGCAGCTACTATGTATGGAGCACTTTCTCTGTGCCAGACATTACTGCCAGTCCAGACTCCTCCCATCATATGGTATGACTGGGACATGTGTGTGGGGCTCCCATGAACCTCCTGTGAGCAAAGGTCACCCAGCCAAGCAGGGGAGGCTGCCACTCCACCTAACTGGGGCAGACAATGGTTTTGAAAACAAAACATTTCCCAGAAAAAGGCCATGAAGCCCAACCAAAGGCTGAGGAATGGTAGACATGCCTGTCCAGCTCTAGTCCGTCTCTGGAGGGATCCTCCTGACCCTGTCCTCTCCACCTGAGGCTAGTTAGGACTCATGAATGTCCTACGTAATCACCATCAGAGCTAACCAGTCTCCTCCACAGGCTCAGGAAGACACATGGAAGTTCTTCCTCCCAGTTCTGGTCATTCCCCAGCCCCCTAGACCATCACACCCCAGGCAATGAACCTCTGGGGCTCTTTTTCTGACCAGTTTTCCTCTCCAATTCTTTTGGAAACAGACCCATTTCCTTTCTCTAAGGAACTTCCCCTCCACACCAAGTGGTTCCCAACCACAAAATCCTGTCCTTCTTGGTCACATGACTTAAGCTGAGACAATAAGTGCCTCTCATAGAATTTTAGATGACAGTGGAACAAAACAGCTCTTTTCTATGGGTCGTTTCTAGGATTGTGTGGCTGTGACTCCTCTCCCCTGCTGCAGGGAAGCCTGTCACTGTAGGATTCAGTGAAGGACACATGGAGAAGCAGAGCGCCTACCCCAGCAGCAAGCAGGACTCACCTGGAATGCCGGCCTTGGCAATGGCAGCTGCTGCATGGTCCTGGGTGGAGAAGATGTTGCAGCTGGACCACTGCACCTAGAAGAGCCAGCAAGATAGACTGTGGTCACAGAAGCACTAGGGTCCCTGGACAAGGATAAGGAAAAGCCCTGGAGCTAGACGTGACAGGCTTGTGATCTAGGCCCAGCCAGCTCAGCGAACACAGAGTGGGGGCCCTGGGGAGTGAGTGGGAGCCAAAGCAGTGACAAGACCCAATTTACGTTGTCAAACATCACTCTGGTGCTGTGGAGGAGAAAGGGCTCCACAAGGTAGCGAGGAGACAAGTGAAACAGAGATGTAACAGTAGCAGTAGAGGTGATAACGGGTATGTTTTGAAGGCTAAGCTGACCAGATTTGCTGCAGGATTTGTTGTTGGGGTGAGAGAGAAAGGAGTCAGTGATGACCCCAGGTTCTTGAACTAAGAAAACCTGGAAGGCTTAATTTCCATTTGCTTACGTGGGGAAGACCGCAGAAAGGGGTGTATGGCATCATGAATTCGTTTGGACATGATGAAGTTGATATTAGATCTCCAAGTGGATATGACACATCAGCTACGGAATATACAAGCCTGGAGTTCTGGAGAGAAGTCTAGGCTGGTACTATCTTTTAGAAGTCATCACCATGTTGATAGGATTTAAAGCCATAAGATCAAATCACCAAGAGTGTGAATGTTGGAAAGAAAGAAGAGGTCCAAGGACTGATCTCTATTATAGTCTGTTAGTTGGTTTTGGCTGTTGTGCCCTGCCCTCTTTAGGAAGCTGTCAAGTTCCAAAACTCCTAAAGAGGACAGAAGAGCTATCAATCACCTATACATGACCCAGGCTGAACCAATCAGAACACCATCCTTCTGGCAGCCATGATTGGCCCAGGGCAGGTGCACAACCTTAGGAGAGCCAGTCCTTCCATGACTCAGTGGGTCACTGAGGCTGAATTTTTCCTACCAGAGCTCCTCAATCAGGAGAATGTGAATTGAAGGCAGTCAGATGCTACCTTCCCAGTCAGAAAAAAAATTTCACAGCAGTCACCACAAAAAGTGACAGCACTGTGACAACACTGGCGCCACAGCTGGGGGGACACCACCCTGGATTTCCCACTTTACACAGAACAGCTGCAGGCCTCACCTGAGCACCCAGGGCAACGAGGGTCTCAATGAGGACGGCTGTCTCAACAGTCATGTGCAGGCAGCCAGCGATGCGGGCACCCTTCAGTGGCTTGGAAGCTGAGTACATCTCCCGCATGCGCATCAGGCCCGGCATCTCATTCTCGGCGATATCCAGGGCCTTGCGTCCCCAAGAGGCCAGGCTGATGTCAGCTGCAGAGGCAGGATGGATGGCAGTTCCATGAGCAGTCCATCCCACCAACCAGGCTGAGCAATCTAGTCACTGACTCCCACTCATTCAACAAGGATTTATGGAGCTGAGGCAGTCAAAAAAGAAAGGCACGATCCCTGCGTAACTTCAGTTTAGTCTTGGGGGAAAATACATTAAATCAAAGAATCACACAGGTACATGTAAATAACACAGGTAAGTGCCCACTTGAAAAATAGCTCTGTGTGTGTGTGTGTGTGTGTGTGTGTGTGTGTGTGTGTATCCCCCCTGCCCCATTACCCTTTCTGCTGCCTCCTACCAATCTCCTCATTCCCTAGCGATTTTTGTTCCTGGCTGTCCATCCCTCTTCCAGGTCATCACTCTTGCTGACTTCAACACTCTAAGTGATATTATTTAACACCTTGGACTCAGCACAATTCTTTGATCTCCTTAAATGTATGAAAATGCTTCTTCCCCACTCCTGATGTTTTCACATGGAGAAAGGTCCTCTGTGCAAGTGACACTCTTGGCTCCTCTCTGCCCCAGGGGAGGTGGAGTGACTTCTCTGATTAGGAAACTTGGGAGGAATAAATTGGGCATGCTCAGTTCAGCTCTTCCTTCTTTAGCAAGCATCAGCCACCCAGTCTGCAAGAAGCATGTTCTTCCACCTAGAGACCTATCCAGGCCCACCTCCACAATAACAGATGTGTAACTGAATTTGGGCATTCAGTTAGCAGGATCATTAGACTTTGACACTAATCTACATCCTCTGGCTTCACTGTTACTAGTAATGAAGTTTGATTTTGGCTTCTATCTGCCACCCAAATATCTCAAATTTGTCCAACTTCTCAGGCAGGAAAAAAGGATATTATTATGAGTTTTATAAAATTTGCGTTATATCACCTCCACTCTTATGTTAAAGTAAAAAAAACAAACCTTCAATGGTTTCCCCTGACCCATGAATAAAATCCCCACTCCTCACATGGCCTCAGGGCCCTACCCACAAGACTGCCTATGTTTGTCCACCCACGTCTCCACCCTCTTTTCCCCCTTCCTAGCCCACAGGGATCTGTTTACTGGTGGCCTTCAGGCAAGCTGAACTCATTCCCACCTCAGGACTTTACCCCAAGCAGTTTTCTTAGCCTGGATGGCTCCTTCCCACACACCTGATACAGACCTGGCACACAGTATTGCTCAGCAAAAACCTGGAAATCAGACAGAATTTGGTATATTCCTGCTGGGGGAACAGAGTGAACCAGGGTGGCCCTAGTAGAGGGAATAAGGTTAAGTCAGGATTTTATTCCCAGTAAGGTGGGAAGACTACAGAATTTTAAGGGGAAGTAGTATATAATATCATGACCAGTTTGTCTTTTGAAAAGACCCCTTTGGTTGTTACATGTATCTATGGAGCAAGAGACGCAGAAAGACCTGTGAGGAGGTTGACCAGAACTGGGACCATGGCTATGGAGATAGAAGTGGGCAGATCTCCTCACTTATAAAATGGAGACAATGATAATCCATTATTACCTGTGTACATGTCTGTCCCAACTTCATCCCTGAGTCACTTTTGTATGTCCAGTGCCCAACAGGGCCTGGCATAGAGAAGCAGTCAGCAAATGTTTACTGACCATATCTGTTGTTAGAACTAAATGAGAGAAGGTCCATGAAAGGGGCTGGCACAAGACGTGTGGCAAAAAATAAATAAATCTAAACCCATCAGCATTTACTAATGAGGAAAGAGTCCAAAGAGGGGTTTGCCCCAGGTTCGGCAGCCAGTCAGTAGCAGATGCCGGACGGGTAGCCAGGAGGAGCTAGACCCAGAGGACTTCTCTGGGCTCCTGAGAGGCCCAGCAGTAGTGAACAATGGATGTTGTCCTATCCTGCCAAGCTCCACCTCCTCCATCACCACCTGTCCCTCTAGCTAAAAATAACTCCACTGCCCTCATGGCAGCTATGCCAGGCCCAGGTTTTCCATGGATCCCTCAACCCCAAGGGCTCTGGTGCTCAAAGCTCTGGGGCTTTTGGTCTTGTAGGAGTTGGGGACTTGAAGAAGTTGCAGGAACACCTGTGCTAGGACAAGCCAAGAGGAATAGCAAGACCCTCTCCGAACCTCACTTTCTTCATCTATAAAGTGGGAATAATCATCCCCAACCTTGGTGAGCCCTGAGGATTAAAGATGTCATATGGGCAAGGTCTAGCACAGTATGCCCTCCTCAGTGGGGGCTTCCTCCAACCCTACCCAGCCAAGTTCCCCACTTCCAAATGCTGCCTTATCTCCTTCCACACAGCCCGATGCCCTCAACCCTGACCCATCAATCTCTTCATAGCCTGTATTCCAACTCTGCCATGAATGTGACCTTGACTTAACCTTTCTGGGCTTCAGTTTCATCATCCACAAAATGGAGACAACAGTCTACTCTAGCCACTACTTCATGAGCTACTATTGATAAATTATTACAATTGACCCTTGAACAATGCAGTAGATAGGGGCAATGGCCCTGCTCAGTCAAAAATGTGGGTATAACTTGACTCCCCCAAACTTCACTCATCCCTTGGTATCCGTAGGGGATTGGTTTCAGGACCCACCCACGTGGATACCAAAATCCATGGATGCTCAAGTCCCTCATATAAAAAGTCATAGAACAAGGCTTATAGTTAGCCCTCTGCATGGGCCAGATTCAACCAACTACTGAGGGAAAATACCACGAATGTGAAACCCAGAGACAGGAAGGGCCAACTGTATATTTATTGAGAAAGCCACATATAAGTGGACCCATGTTCAAAGGTCAACAGTATTTCACAGAATCTCTGCAAATCACTTCCTGTTAAAACCTCAGCTTCTTTCTCTGTATAGTATAATGGGATAAAATCCACCTCTTAAAAGCCAATCACCAGAAACACAAGTGCTCCATAAATGTTGATGCCTTACTCCAAATTTACCGGTGTCTTGAATTTACTTTAAAAAAAAATTGCTAGCTAGCCTGAACCGGTTTTTGCTGAAACTTCATTAGTGTTGTTCCAAGTGTGTTCACTAATATGCACTGGTGAAAAGGTGTACTCAGAGGCCTACAGGGCCTGGGTTCATATACTGCTCTACCTTGTTACAGCTGCAAGATTTGGGCAAGCTACGCTTGTTGCCTGTGTCTCAGTATACTCATCATAAAATGAGTAAATTCCCTACCCTATAATGCAGCGAGAATAAAATGAAGTAATCTAGAAGAAAGGTAGAAGGTGGAGCCCGTCCCCCAGTAAACACCAATAAAGGTAAACTATCAGCTTCAATCCATAAAACAGCAGGACGGGTTTTTCGAGATTTTCTGTACGACTGACCGTTGGCCAGGCGGGTGACCCCAGGGGTTGAGTAACAAGCCCAAAGTCCCCTGTGAACAGATCAGAGCGGCCTTGGGCTCGCTCTCCAGGCCTCCCCTCACTCGCCCTTTCAGGCTCATGTGCCCTCGCATTCCCTGTAGGGAAGAGGGGCCAGCTCTTGTCCGGGACCACCCAGGTGGCCAAGGGGCCGGCTCAGGCCCCGGAAGTGGGATTCGGACCTCCTAGTGTAAGTTCTGGCATATGCCAGCACTCCCACTCCGCGGCAAGGTGCGCACTCCCCGCCTGCCCTAACGGGCTCTGTGCAAAACACGCCGCCACTTGGCGGCTCCGCAGCCCGCGCCGCAGCACTGGGCCTCGCGGGATATGCCGGGATTTGTAGTTCGCGGCCGCTTACGACGACCAGCTCAACGCGACGCGAAAACTCCAGCTCCCAAGCGGCCTCGCGCGGCCAGGAATGCGCCGAGCCAGGCGATTCAAGGGGGTCCTGGGCTCCCGCCTTCGCCCCCGGGGCCGCCGCCGTACAGGCCCAAGGGGGCGCGGCAGAAATAACCTGCTGCATGTTCTGGAACTCACCGACTTTGTAGGGCAGTTTGTCCGACATGCTGACGGTGACTCCGCACGGAGTGACAGAGACAGGCGAAAGGGGCCGGGCTTCAGACTAGGGGCCGGAACGGGGCGGGTTGCACCGGTAAGAGAACTGCGCCTGGCGCCAGCGCCTTTAAATATCTCCCTCTGCTTGCATATTCATGATCCCGCTAGGACTGAGCCCTCCGGGGCGGGGTCCAAAGAGCAAGGGCGGGACCAAGAGCCGAGCTTCGATCTCTGCTATGAGACCAAGGTAACCTCGTGGGTCAGGAAGGGAATCTGAGAGCAAATGAGAAGCCGTTCTTTCTTTCGTTCAGCCAGTGAAGGCGATGTCAAAACCTAGTGGAATTGAAATTCGTACCAGTTCACTTCCCTGAGCCTCAATTTCCTCACCTGTAAAATGTGCCGAATGTTATCTGCACACAGATTATAAGTAAATTTGCAATATGTCAAGTACCTAGAATTCCAGACCTTCCACCCTCCTCCAACCTAACCACTATGCTGAGTTTAGGTAGGTGTGTATGCGTTTTTATACTTTTACTACATATGTATAAATCATTAAACGCTTCGTAGAATTTTTTGTGTTTAAAACCTTTATGTAAATAGTACCATTCTGTATTGGCTGAATCCAGCAGATGTACCTCGGCCTGCATCCCGACCTGCCAATGTGCCCTTGGCTTCCACTTTCCCACCTCTCCCTCCCACGGTTCACAGGATTCCTTCTCAGGCCTTAGTGACTTCCTCCTTCACTAATGCCTTCAAGTGTTGATGTTCCCTTTTCCTCATATTCTGGTCCATCTTCCTGGGACGTCTCACCGCCCACTTATGGCTGTGGGCACATATACCCAGGTGATTCAAGTGTTCATGGAATAAAACACTGTTTTACCCCAGGAGCCACCTGTTTCCCATCTTGATCACATGCCTTTTCTCCCCAACCCTGGACTTACTGCTACAGTGAATTTTGTTATAATCATTTCACCATCACTGAACAATACACTGTTTAGTTTGTTTTTTTGCCTTTTTGTAAATGAAACCGTACTGTATATATTCTTTTGCAATTTGCTTTTCTCTTTCAGCTTACTCTTGAGAGTCATTTGTGTTGATACTGAAACCTGTGGTTCATTTATTTTCATTTTTGTATAACCCATTTATTTATTCATTCTATTATTGATGGACTTCGGGTTGTTTCAGTTTTTGCTACTACAGAGAATACTGCTCTCTAACATTCTGGGGCATATATATACCTAGGAGTCGAGTTGCTTGAACAGATGTGCTCATGTCCAACTTAACTAGGTAATATGAAACTTAGTGTGGTTGCATCATCAACATTCCCACCAACAGTGATAAAAATTCCTGTTTTATGCCCTTACCAACACTTCCTATTACCAAATTTTAATTTATTTTTTGTTAATCTGAAATGATAACTTGTAGTTTTAATTTGCATTTATTTGACTAGTAATGAGGTTGAACGTCTATTCATATGTTATAACCCATCTGGGATTCTTTCTCTGTAAAAGTTCCATTAATGTCTACCCATTTTAAAAGTAGGTGGTTTGCTTTTTCTTTTCAGTTAATAGGAATTCTTTACATAGTCTGGATACTAGTCCTTTGCTAATTATATGTGTTGCAAATATCTTCTCCAGGTCTGTGGCTTATCTTCTCACCCTTTTAATGTTGGGTTGTTTTTTTTTAAAGATTCACCTGAGGAGATTTTTGTCATTGCTTTTATTTGAAAGAGAGAAAGGGGGAAAGGAGAGGACCGAGAGAGAGACAGAGAGAGAGAGAGAGAGAGAGAAGTATCAAAGTGTGAGAGAAGTATAGACTGGTTGCCTCTTGTAGGTTCCTCAACTGGGGATTGAACCAGCAACCTAGATATGTGCCCTGACCAGGAATGAAACCTGCAACCTATTGGTTTATGAGACAACACTCCAACTGAGTCACACCAGCAAGAGCTATGTTGTTTTTGATAAATAGAAATTCTTAGTTTTTCAAAAATTAGTTTTATTTTTAAAATATTTTATTTATTTATTTTTAGAGAGAGGAGAAGGGAGGGAGAAAGGGAAAGAAATATCAATGTGAGAGAAAAATATCTTGCTTGGGGTATTTCATATAAATGGAACAATACAATATGTGGCCTTCTTTGCATTTTTACTTGAGGTATGATTTGTATACAGAGATATGCATAGAACTTAAATATTATCTAGATAAATTTTGACAAATGCATATCCCCATGTACCTATACCACAGCAAGAGAATATGTGTGAGGATAATTTTTCTTTAAGATTTTATTTATTTATTTTTAGAGAAAGGAGAAGGGAGGGAGAGAGAGAGGGAGAGAAACATTGATGTGCAAGAGATATATCAATTAGTTGCCTCTCACAAGCCCCCAACCAGGGGCCTGGCCTGCAACCCAGGTATGTGCCCTGACTGGGAGTTGAACCAGCAACCTTTTGGTTCCCAGGCCAGTACTCAATCCACTGAGCCACACCAGCCAGGGCTATATGAGGATAATTTTTTAAAAGTGCACATGGAGAGCTCTTCAACTTCTGACCAAGATCAGGGCATAGGTAGATACACTTTGCTTCCTCATACAACCAAAAGAGCATTTAAAAACAAAAAATAACCAGAACTGCCAGAAAAGCAAAACTGTATGGAAGTCCAACAACCAAGGAGTTAAGGAAGAAACATCCATCTAGACTGGTAGGAGGGATGGAGCTGGGCAGCTGGGGTGGAGAGGATGCATGGGAAGGCAGTGGACCAGGCAAGTAAGGCTGTGGCTGGCAAACTGGGATATCCCTCATTCATGTGCAGATAAACCAGGAGGAAAAACTGGGGAGTGAGACAGACCATGCAACCCAGGGTTCCCATGTGGGAAACTGAAGCCTGAAAACCTCTGGCTGTATAAACCTGTGAGGGTTGTAAACTCCTAAGCTCACAGGAGAGTTTGTTGGAGAGACCCATAGGGTCCTAGAACGTACACAAACCCACCCACCTGGCAATCAGCCCCAGAAGGTCCCAATTTACTTGTGCGTAGTGGGAAAAGTGACTGAAAGTGGGGTGACAGCTGAGCAAGTGGCATTGTTCCCTCTGTGGAGCCTCTCCCACGTACAGCACCACAACACAGAGAAGTGGGTTACCTGGCCCTGGTGAATACCTGAGGCTCCACCACTTCCAACATAACAGGTGCACTGAGACAAAGAAATATGGCCCAAATGAAAGAACAGATCAAAACTCCAGAAAAAGAACTAAGTGACCAGGGGATAGCCAACTTATAAGATGCAGAGTTCAAAACACTGGTAATCAGGATGCTCACAGAAATGATTGAATACAGCTGCAAAATAGAGAAAGAAGTAAAGGCTGTGCAAAGTGAAATAAAGAAAAATACACAGGGAATCAACAGTGAAGGGAACAAAAATGGGACTCAAATCAATGATTTGGAGCAGAAGGAAGAAATATACATGCAACCAGAACAGAATGAAGAAACAAGAATTTTAAACAATGAGGAGAGGCTTAAGAACCTCTGGGACAACTTTAAATATTCCAACATCCGAATCATAGAGGTGCCAGAAGGAGAAGAGGAAGAGCCAGAAATTGAAAACTTATTTGAAAAAATAATGAAGTAGAACTTCCCCAATCTGGTCAGGGAAATAGACTTCCAGGAAATCCAGGAAGCTCAGAGTCCCAGAGAAATTAGACCCAAGGAAGCACACACCAAGGCACATCATAATTACATTACATCATAATTACCAAGATTAAAGATAAGGAGAACATCTTAAAAGCAGAAAGAGAAAAGGAGACAGTTATCTGCAAAAGAGTTCCCATAGGAGTGTCAGCTGATTTCTCAAAAGAAACCTTGCAGGCAAGAAGAGGCTGGAAAGAAGTGTTCAAAGTCATGAAAGGCAAAGACCTACATCCAAGATTACTCTGTCCAGCAAAACTATCATTTGGAATGGGAGGGCAGATAAAGTGCTTCCCATTCAAGGTCAAGTTAAAGGAGTTCATCATCACCAAGGCCTTATTATATGAAGTGTTAAAGGGACTTATCTAAGAAAAATAAGAAGATCAAAACTATGAATAGTAAAATGACAACCAACTGAAAATTATCAATAACTGAACCTAAAAAACAAAAACAAATTAAGCAAACAACTAGAATAGGAACAGAATCTTAGAAGTGGAGATCACATAGAGGGTTATCAACGGGGAGGGGGAAGGCAGAGAATGGGGGAAAAGGTACAGGGAATAAGAAGCATAATTGGTAAGTACAAAATAGACAGGGAGAGGAGAATTAAGAACAGTACAGGAAATGGAGAAACCAAAGAACTTATATGTATGACCCATGGACATGGACAAGGCGGGGCAGATGCAGGTGGGAGGGGATAAAGGAGAGAAAAAAATGGACCACTGTAATAGCATAATCAATAAAATATACTTAAAAACGTGTACATGGAGTGGCGGTATAATACCACTATCATGGAATAATAGGATTTTTTCCATTTTTTTCCACTATTAGACTACAATGAATTGTTGATTCATGCAAAATATCCCATATATTTTGGATCATTTCTTTGGGGGGGGGGGAAATCCTAGAATTTGGAGTAACCTGATGAAAGGACATAAGCATTTTTAAGTATCCTCCTGATTATGCTGCCATGTTGTTTTCTAAGTCATCCACAGTTTCTGAGTTTATCTTACTACATGTGTATATTATCTTTTTTTGCTAATTTAATAAATAAAAATTATAAAAATTTAGTAGTACACCTTTTCTTTTCTTTTCTTTTTTTTCTTACCATTGGAACAAAAGTTTCCTGCTCCAGAATAAACCTGGTGAGAACATCCACTGAAAGTTTAGGATTCTGTGCAGTACAATGTGAGATACTTTATTTTCCTCTTTGTTTCTTAAGAGGTGATGTTCATTCCCAACTAACTGTGACACTTCTCTAGTGGGGATAACTTCCACCCGTCCCATTGTCTCTCAAGTCCCTTATCTCTACTTTGCTGTGAACCTTGGGGAGGCATTTAATCTCTCTAACTTCACTTTTTCTTGACTGCAAAATGGGAATCATAATAATAATATCAACTTAGAGGGTTAGTGCTAATCAAAAAATACTTTCTTTCACATGACTGCCGTGTTATTCCGATTATAAAGCACTGTCCAGTCCATTTTCTCACTTTGAAAAATTAATAACTTTTTGTTCCGCAGATACATTGTATGAAATATAAAAAAACAGTATTTAAAAACCTATAATTAGCACGTGCTGGTATGGCTCATTGGTTGGGCATCATCCTGCAAAGCATTAGGGTCACCAGCTCAATTCCCAGTCAGGGCACATGCCTGGGTTGCGGGTTCAGTCCCCCACTGGGACACACATGCCAGAGGCAGCCGATCCATGTTTCTCCCATCAATGTTTCTCACCTCTTTCTCCCACCCATTCTCTCTGAAAATAAATAAATACATAAAGTCTTTAAGAAAACTATAACTAATTTGGAAATCATTGCTATTACCATTTTGGTTAATTTCCTTCTGGTCTCATTTACATACACACTTTATATATTTGAAATCATAATGTATAGAGACTTTCTTTTACCTAACTTTTTCCATCTAACATCACATTAGCAAGCTTTATAATGCTCTTAATTTGTGCCCGGTTGCATGAAAAATCCTTTATAAATAGTAACTTGTTTAATCCTCACTAAGAAGGTCTTCCTCATATAGAAAATGAGGAAACTGCAACAGCAAAGTTAAGTAACTTGCCCACAGTTACACAGTAAGTAGAGTAACTAGAATTTGAACTCAGGTGGTCAGACTCCAGAATCCACCCTTAACTCCTATCTTATGCAGTTTCTCCCACTATAGAACATTTCAGCTTTAAAAAAAGAATATTCCATTTATGGATGTATCAGAATTTATATAACCAAGCCCCTATTGTTTCTGTATGACTATTATAAATAACACATCAGTGCAGCAATTTATTAACTGGTGTGCGGCAAGAATTTTGAAAACATGTAATACCTGGCCTTTTAGTCAGGGGCACTGACCTCTTTTCTCTTAAATTGTTAACTAAAAAGATGACAACAGCTGTAGCCGAGTGGCTCAGTTGGAGCATCCTCTCTTACACCAAAAAAGACTGCAGATTTGCTTCAGTCAGGACACGTATCTAGGTTGCGGGTTGGATCCCAGTCCTGGCGCATTTGGGAGACAACTCATCATGTTTTTCTCTCTCCCCCCCAACCTTCTCTCTCTAAAATCAGTAAATGTATCCTCTAGTGAGGATTTTTAAAAAAGAAAGAAAGACAACAGCTGTTCCTGGCTAGCTAACTCATGTTGGTTAGAGCATTGACCAAATACACCAAGGTTGTGGGTTCAACCCCCCAGTCAGGGCACGTACAAGAATCAGTCAAAGTTGGCCTGGCTGGTGTGGCTCAGTAGATTGAGTGCCAGCCTGCAAACCCAAAGGTTGCTGGTTACATTCCCAGTCAGGTCACAAGCCTGGGTTGCAGGCCAGGTCCCCAGCGTGGGGCGTGCAAGAGGCAACTGATCATTCTACCTCTTGCATATCAATGTTTCTCTCCCTTTCTTTCTCCCTCCTTCCCTTCTCTCTAAAAATAAATAAATAAATAATTTTTTTTTTTAAAGAATCAGTGAATGAGTAAGTAGAACAATGAAGGAATTTTTTCTCTCTCTCAAATACTTAAAATCAGTTAAAAAAATGACAACAGCCAACACAATAGCCATCTAGTGTGAATTAATCAAAATTTTTTTGGTTAGATCGGCAGAAAATATTTTGGTGTGCTGTAAACTTTTAGTAATTAGTTTATGTGTGTCATGAGATGGAAAAAGTTGAAAATCATTGCATTAATTTGACCCGTCTGATAAATTTGGCTTCAGATAAATTTGAAGAAATAGAATTGCTTGCTTAGGGAATATGAATATTTGTCAAAGCCTTGATCCAACTTGCCAAATTAATTACTCTCAGGAAATTTGGTTCAGTACTCTCTGAAAATGAGTATCATTATGTAAGTCAAATATTTTCTAATTTATTAGGTGAAAAAACTTTGCAATAGATTCCCCAGCAACAGGCATTAGTGTTTATTAATTTTTTGTTTTTTATCCGCACCCAAGGACATTTTTTTTCATTCCTTTTAGAGAGAGAGGAAGGAGGAGAGAGAAACATTGATGCAAGGTTTCCCCCTGGACCAGGCATCAAATCCACAACCTAGATATGTGCCCTGACCAGGAATCAAACTGGTGACCTTTTGCTTTCCAGGACAGTGCCCAACCCACTGAGCCACACTGGTCAAGGTGATTTTCTTTTTTTTCAGATTTTTTAAAAATTCTCACCTGAGGATGTTTTTGGTTTTTTTAAATTGATTTTAGAGAGAAAGGAAGGTAGAGAGAGAAACATCGATTAGTTGCCTCCCATATGCACCCTGACCAGGATCAAAACTGCAACCTAGGAATGTACCCAGTTGGAAAAATCAAATCTGCAACCTTTTGATACATGGGATGATGCTCCAACAAAATGAGCCACCTGGCCAGGGTCATTGGTTGATTCTAGTATGTGCCCTGACAGGTATACAACCTTGGCATATGGGGACGATACAATAACCTGATAATTCTCAACCGTTATCATTTCATGGCACACAAAAAGTAATTACTAAAATTCTGCAGCACACCAAAAATGTATTTTTTGCTGATCTGACAAAAAAAAATAAGTATAATTTTGATTCATTCTCATTGGATAGCTATTGTGTTGGCTGCAGGCACTTTTTTTTGGGCGGGGGCAATCTAAGGGAAAAGAGGTCAGTACCCCTGACTAAAGAGCCAGATATTGCTTGTTGTAAAAATTCTTGTGTCACGCAGGTTGAAAATTGCTGCTCTAACCAACTGAGCTACCCAGCCAGGGCCTTCATTATTGATTATTAAGTTTGATTCCGCTGTGATCAGAGAACATGATCTGTATGATTTAAATTATTTTAAATTTGGCAAGATTTGTTTTATGACCCAGGATATGGTCAGTCATGATATACATATGTTCTTTGAGCACTTGAAAAGAATGTGCATTCCACTGTTGTTAGCTGGAGTGTTCTATATGTGCCAATTAGTATTAGGTGGATGGTGTTGTTGGGTTCTATATCCTTGTTGATTTTCTGTCTAGTTCTGCCAATTATTGAGAGGTATGTTGAAGTGTCCAATCATCATTATAAATTTGTCTATTTCTCCTTTCAGTCCTGTCATACTTTGTCTTCTTGGTGGGTTGACCCTTTTATCATTATATAATGGAAAAGAAACAATGACAAAAAAATAAAAACACATCAGAGAGGGGAAGGGATTTCTTAGTAGTGCTAGATAGGGCAGAGTCCAGACTCCTGATGTGGTTGGCAATACATCTCTCACACACCGATGTTTCTCTTCCTCTCTCCCTCCCTTCCCCTCTCTCTAAAAATAAATAAAATCTTTAAAAAATAAAATAAAAAGGAGATAAACATCTCTTTTTTATTTTTGTTGGTAGGGAACAAAAATAAAAATGTTGGTAGGGAATGATCTATTGTCAAGAGAAAATGTCAAGTGAAGAAAAAAGAAAGCAACATGCAGAACAGTATGTCTACTATGTAACTAGTTGTATAAAAGGAAAAAAAAACACAAATAGATATTTGCCTATATATGCCAACAGACTGGATAACACAGGCAACTTCTAACAGCACTTTCTCGTGGTTTACCCCCGCCCCCCACCTCGCCACTCTGCTGAAGGCCACAGTGGACAAATAAGTGTCAGCCTGGCCTTCTTCCAGCCCAGGCACCGGCAGCAGACTATAGGGTGGCTGCGAGTGGGAGGCTCCCCAAAACAATAGGAAGAGACAGGCCAAGCATGTGACTGCACTGCCTACCCTTTGAACCTGCCCTTTCAGTGTTTGCTTTTGTAGAGACTGAGGTCCCCAGTGTGGAGGCAGGAGGGGGCGGAGAGGGAAGGAGCCTGCCCATTGGCTGAGGGACCATCTAGACTGGCCTCGTTCCCACATCCAGCACTCAGACTTTGGATTAATTTGGACGCTGTGAGATAGGGGAATGGGGTCCAGATGCCGAAGACACTGGCTGGTAAGGTTGTGAGAGAATAATGAAGTTCTGGGAAGAACCCCCAGTATTCCAATTCTATCTTGATGTCTACCCTGCTCCTCAACTCCTTCTATACCCCTCCCTCCAGTCCCCCTTGTATTTATAAACTGCCCCTTGAGTCTGCCTTCATGTTACTGCTGGGCAGTAGAGTACAAAGGTAGGAGGATTTCTTACAGAGCTTTGAACAGGGCTCCCTCTCCCTCCAAACCCTTCTCATCCTATACTGCTCCATTGTGGGTGGTGAGGGAGCCCACAGATGTTTCAGGAGCTGGTCACACTCACCAGCAACACACTTCTCCCCTTGAAGGAGTCCCCCAGACTCACAGAATAAAAGGGAATGATCCCCACAAGCCGAGTGCCCTCTCAGCCTCAATCTTTTACCTGTAAAGTGGGTCTGTGTGTGATTATGTATCATTATGTCAAAATTATCTAATTATGTGTCTGACTGCCCCACTACTTCTGGGAGGGTCAGGAATGTTTCTGGTTTTGTCTGTTGCTGTATTCCCAATGTCCAGTTCAGTGCCTGGCATATAGGAGGCATCCAGTATTTGTAGAATGAATTAATGCTCCCAGATGTTTGCCCAGAAGCTCATGTTGTGGTGTCTTTTGGCTTCAGCCACCAGACCTGGCTATCCTTGGGGTGGAGGTCGGGATGTCCTCCAATCCAGGTCTCAAATGTCCATGGATGAGGCTGGAGTCTTCCCCAAGGGGTCTGGCCAATTCCCACTGGAGTCAGGACTTCCACATTCTTTTATTCTAACATTTGCTGAGAGCATAGTCCAGGGACACTAGGAATTCAACGGTCTGGGGTGCTGCCACTCCTTTTCATTTCTCAGATGATCCTTTCCCTCATGGAGACATTGCCTAAATGGTCCCGCAGAGGATGCTCTGAGAACTTGTAGCAGGGGTGCCTGGCCCAGTCTGGTTGAGGGTCAGGGAAGACATCCTGAAACGAGATCTGAAGGAGAAGGAGTTTAGCAGGCAAAGAAGGAGGAGGCAGCTCCTTCTGTGAAGTTGTAACAGTCCCCTCCCCAGCTCACTGCCTCTCTGCAGCGGGCTCCATTTGCTGGGTGTCCTGACAGCAACCCCCAACCTCTGCTGTCCGTCTCTGTCGGGCGGGAGGCAACGGTTACCCGATACTGCCAGGAGGGGGCACCCTGCTCCTAGGTTTGGCTTCAGCCAGCTGCTGTTGTGTGAAATACTAACCTCCCAGCTGCCCTGAGCCAGGCAAAATGCAACTTAATTGCTACCTCTCCTAGAAGAAACTAAGACTCAGAGAAGTTTAATAGACAGCACTAGCCAGTAGTCTTTTGACTTGTTTTAAGGGCCTTTAGCCCATGGAAGCATCAGCTCTGGGTGTTGATAATGACAATATAATGATATTAGTTGCAATTTATAAAGTACTTCCTATGCTGCACCCTATAAGATAGATGTTGCTATTATATCCATGTTGCAGATGAAAGAAAAATGAGGCTTGTTGTGGTCGATTGGCCCAATGTTAGGAAGCACCAATGACATCTGATTCTAGAACTTCCGTTGGTGAGCACAGTGCTACTCTGCTTTCCCATCATACTCTCCCCTATACCCACCACCACACTTTCATCTGAGAGAGCTAGATGTAAAGACACGAGAAGGAAGAAGACAAAGACCCTGCTTCTAGCTCTATCTTAATGAACATATGTGTGTTTACACATGAATACAGTCACACAAACTCTCAGATGCCTATTCATCCACACATACAGTATACACCTTCCCCACCATCACAAATGTACACATTCACATATATTCACACTCATACATATGCACACATACTCACATTCTCATATACTCAATCACTCATATTCAGACATGCACACTGTTAGGTGTTAGTCAAGACCTGTGCTTTAATTGCCAGGGCCGTGGGGCCCTAGGTTCAACCTGTGATCCGTGAGCTGACCATGACACCCCTCTCTTCCTCTTCCCTTCATTCCACTCATTCCACAAACGTTGCCAGCTGCCCACTAGGGGCAGGCTACCGGGGAGCACAGATGACTCAGACCTGGCCCCTGCCCTCAAGGAACTTTCTACTGGGGGGTGAGGGGCGGATAAAAGACTCACCAATGATTGCCACAGCCATGAATGCCAGGGCAGGTCTGAGTAGAGCATCTAGAATGAAGAGAGGGGCTCCACTCCGGAAGGCACTGTCCTGGGAGCTGTGGCAGAATTCTCAGAGTAAAAGGCTCCCACCTGAAAGGGGTTAAGAAAGCAGAAAGAGACCTACCCAGGTCGGGGGACAATATTGGCAGCCATAGCAGCGTTAAAAAGTGAGAGGAAAAATAGCCAATATTGGCTCTGGCCGGTTAGCTCAGTTGGTTAGTGTCATCTGATATGCCAAGGTAGCAGGTTTGATCCCCAGTCAGGGCACATGCAAGAATAACCAATGAATGCATAAATACGTGGAACAACAACTCGATGTTTCATTCTCTCTCTTTCTGAAATCAATTTTAAAAATAGCCAATATCATGAACTGTTTCAAACCCTCCTTCTAGATTATCCTATTGAACCCCCTCAACAACATTATGGTATAAAAAGATTATTAACTGCGTTTTGTAGGTAAGAAAACCAAGGGTGAGGCAGCCCCGGCTGGTAAGCTGCAGAGTCAGGATCTGAACCAAGATCTGCAGGTCTCCAGGGTATAGGCTCATGGCCCCAGGGCTCTGCTGCTTTGACTATCCGCACTTCTGCTTTGCACACACGTGCACCCTCCCCGTCTCCCTCTGCTACAGAAGGGGTTGCTCAGGGTGCACCAATGCAGTGTCACCCTCCTTACTCCGTCCACAACTTGTCTAAGTACCCTGGTGCCTCCTTCTGTACCCAGTGTGCCGTTCTGCCCAAGAACTTTCAGGCAGTGTGTCCTGAAGGATCACACAGCTCTGTTTTGTTTTTGGCAGACGTCTTTGTGAAATGTGTGATACCTGCCCTTACGTCCTTCATGGAGGACTGAAAGCTCAGTCACCAAACCTTGGGCCTCTCTGCAGCCCAGCATGCAGCTCCAGGCCTGGCCCAGGGTAGCTGCCTGGTTAAGGTTTGCAGACTGGCATGGATAATAAATGGGCTAGAGCAGAAGTCAGAAAGTGATAGTCCTTGAAATTTTTGCCCCAGAGCTCATGTTTTCTGCTGTTTTGAATTAGCATCCAATTTTTTTAAATTGGGAGAGGTCACAAGGAAATTCATATCTCCAACTTCTCTTGAAAAAATGACCAAATCTGGCAACTGAGCCTACACTGTCCTATGACAAAGTGTGGGTGAGCTGGGTGTTAGCTACCCTCTTTAGATGGTGTAACTTCTCCAGACCAATATATATCCCGACCCCTGACCCATTTCAGTCTTCTGACAGCCTGCTCTTTGACTTAAAGTTTTCTCAATGGAACAGAATCATCTCAATGAACATTGGTTGTCTTTCTCGTTTGCATAGCACCCACTGAGTTGTTTGGTCCTACATTGCAGGACTTCCTGAATTCATCTATTGGCTATAATTTACCTATCTTCTAGTTGCTGATCTGGGTCGTAAAATGCAAGCATTAATAATAAGTCCTTGCCCTCACTGGTGTGGCTCAGTTGGTTTGGTGTTATCCCGCAAAGCTAAAAGTTGCTGGTTTGATTCCCAGTCAGGGCATGTGCCTGGCAAGTCCCTCGTTGGTGTACATGCAAGGTTAAATTGATCGATGTTTCTCTCACACATCGATGTTTCTCTCCCTCTCTTTCTCCCTACCTTTCTCTTTCTCTAAAAATAAATATGTAAAGTCTTTTAAAAATAAATAATAATAACCCCTTAAATTCAAGCTTTCAAACTGGGATCCTTACAGATTCTACAGAAGACGAAACTGAGGGATGAGTACTTTCCTGAAGCTTCACAGAATCAGTAGTGGATGAGAGCCTAGGGCTTGAAGAACTCAAACTCAGGTAAGCAGATTGATGTCCTAATGGGCATGTGGTATGAGAATGACATGATGAAGGTTGTGCTCTGAGATTCTGGATCTTGGGAGTAGAAGAGGAGGGTCCAGAAGGAGGACAAAGAGCTTGACATGGTGGTCTGAGGCTAATTGTGGGGAATTCTCTGCCCTGTCATTCAGTTATCCGTTGCTGCGTAACAAACCACCCATGCTAGTGGCATAAAACAACAATAATCGTGTATTATTTATTTTTTGGTTTGGGATGTTGATTGGGCTTAGCTGGATGGCTTTTGCCCACGTCCTCCTGTGTGATTGCAGTCAGACAGTGACTGGGCCCGTGTCATCCTGAAGGAAGTTTCCTCACTCGTATGGCTGCCGGTGGATGCTGGCTGCCAGCTGGGACCTCAGTGGGGCTGTCAGCAGGAAGCCTCAACATGGCTTCTCCATGCAGCCTAGTCTTCCTCACAGCATGGGAGCTGGGTTCCATGGCCGAATATCCCAAGAGAGAGCCAAGCAGAAGTATCACTTTTTAACATGTGTTATTTATTTATTTATTATTTTAAAAATCCTCTCCCAAGGTTATCTTCATTGATTTTTTTAGGTGGGGGAGAGAGAGAAACATTGATCAGTTGCCTCCTGTACATGTCCCAACTAGGCATGGAACCCACAACCTAGGTATGTTCCCTGACCAAGGATCTCACCCAAAACCTCTTTGTGCATGGGACCACGCTCCAACCAACTGAGCCACTAGGCCAGGGCAAATAGCATCACTTTTTAAAAATACATATTCTTGTAAAATTTTTTCTAACTTTATTGAGTTAGAGTTGACATATAACATTGTGTAAGTTTCAGATATATAATGTTATGATTTGATACACATATATAGTAAATAACTAATACAATAAAGTTAGTTGTTAATATATCATTGACCTCATTTAATTAATGATAATTTTTTGTTGAGGTGGTGATGGTGGTAGTGAGAACATTTAAGGTCTACTTTCTTAGCAACTTTCAAGTATATAATACACTATTGTTAACTATAGTTGCCCTGCTGAATGTTAGATCCCCAAAACTTATTCATGTTAGGAAGTTTGTGCCCTTTAACCAACATATTCCCATTTTCCCCACACCTCAGCCCCTGACGATCACCATTCTATTTTATGTTCTTATAAGTTTGGCTTTTTTAGATTCCATATACAAGTGAGATCATACAGTATTTGTCTTTGTCTGACTTTTTTCATTTAGCATAATGCCCTGAAGGTGTATCCACGTTATTTCAGATTACAGGATTTCCTTCTTTTTAGGGCTGAATAATATTCCTGTGTGTGTGTGTGTGTGTGTGTGTGTGTGTGTGTGTGTACCACATTGTCTGTATCTGTTAATCCATTGATGGACACTTAGATTGTTTCCATGTCTTGGCTATTGTATGTGTTACCTTTTATTTTTATTTATTTATTTTAAAGATTTTTGTTTATTTTTAGAGAGAGGGGAAGGGAGGGAAAAAGATGGGGAGAGAAACATCAGTGAGTGAGAGAAACATCTATCAGCTGCCTCTCACACGTGCCCCAACTGGGAACCAGCCCACAGCCCAGACATGTGCCCTGACAGGGAACTGAACCAGTGACCTTTCACTTTGCAGCACAATGCCCAACCAACTGAGCCACACTGGTCAGGGCTGTGTCACCTTTTATGATCTAGCCTTGGAATTCATGTGGTACCATACTGATAGTTGAAGCAGTCACAAAAAAACCAATGAAGTTCTAGAGAAAGGACCATAGACTTGACCTCTGATCGGAAAGTCTCAAGGTTCTAGAAAAGCATGAAGGATAGGAGATATGGTTGTGATCATTTTTAAATGTTTTTAATTAAAAAAAAATTTCAATTAGTTTACATTCAATATAATTTTGTATTAGTTTCAGATGTATAGCATAGTGGTTAGACAATCATATACCTTACAAAGTGTTCCGCCCAATATTTCCAGTCCCTACCTATCACCAGTGGGGACACAAAAAACTCAGAATTATCTTCTCGAGGGCGGGCCCCTTACAGTACAGGCTTCCCCCACTAGGTGAGTGTTCTAGGAACCCATCTGTATCAGTGCACCAGCTGGCATTGTTGTGAGAGGCTGGGTTTGGCTTCAGTTAATTTTTTTGTGGGGAGACTCTTTCAATGCTTTTACCCATTTCATGATGGGTGATTTACAAGCCCACCTGCTCACACTGTGCTGAGTGTTCAGCAGTTTTTGACCAAAAACGGCATGACTCCCATGTCCCACCCTCCCTCTTCACCCAGTCTCTCCCCAAGTGACATTTTTTTGTTTGTTTGTTTCCCTGGATAAAGAAAGTCCTCAACAGAAACATTTTGTTGATATGGAAGAGGTGAAATGAAAAATGGCAAAAGCACTAAAAGGCATTAAAATCAATGAGTTAAACTGTTTTGATCAGTGGAAGAAACATCTCGTTAGGTGTATTGCATCAAATGGAGAGTGCTTTAGAGGTGGCTGAAGTTTAAACATGTAAGAATAAAGACCCAATTTTTTGTAAATAAATTCTGGGTTTTTTTGGGTCCCCCCTTGTACACAGTTGTTCCAATATTATTGACTACATTCCCTCTACAGCACTTTACATCCCCATCATTGTGATCATTTTTTAAAAATACACTCTGCCACACCAAACAAGGGGTGAGTTCTGGAGTCAGATGTGTGGGTTAGAATCCCAGTTCTACCATTTATGATTCTAAGTCTCATTTTTCTCATCTATAAAGTGAGGCTAATAATAGCACTTCATGTGATTGCTGTGAGGATTAAACAAGTTAAGAACCAAAGTACAAGATACCTGGCACGGGGCTGGTGCTCCGTGGGTATCACTGTTGTTGGGGTGGATCATCACACTAAAGTTCTGATCAATGTGGTCCATCACACCTGTTTGTATACGTGTGAGGAAGCCTGGAGGTGTGTTCAAGGGTGTGTGTGCAAGTGGGTCCATGTGCACATACCCACGGGAGCTGAAATGAGTGTGTGTCTGTTGGTGTTAGCGAGTGTACGGGTGGGAACTTGGGTGGAGGCCTGCCGGTGTACATGCGGGCACATGCAGGACTTTGATGTGTGTGAGTGTGTGGGACAGGGGACTGAGAATGACTGAGGCCAAGGGTGAGCATGCGTCCACAGGTGTGCGCAATTAGTACTGAGTGTGGGTAGATTGAGACATGAGGGGGTACAAGAGTGTGGATATAGCCAAGCACGTATGTTAGATTTTGTGTATATGTGTGCACAAGTGTGTATATTTTCCAGAAGTTGTCTGTCCATGCCTGAAGCCTGGAAAAATGAGAAAATGTAGAAACAAAGAACCCTTTCAGATCTTCCCAGGGATGTTCGAATCAAATGAACCCCTGGGAACTACGACCAACTGGAAAGACAAGGCGAGCCAGGTGGAGGGATATGGGGAAAGGCTTTTCTGAGGTTAGTAATCAGGCTTGGGCTGGGAGCCAGAGTTCCTATTAGGGCCAGCTGCTTCCCACAGAGTTGCCTCTTCAGCTCGGATGACAGCTTAGCATCACGGCCTTCTTCCTCCTCATTCCCATTGCAAGTAGTAGATAATTTGTTCATTTATTTGAATATCTATTGAGTACCTACTATGGGCCTGGCACTATGCTAGAGGTTAGGGATACAGCAGTGAACAAAACTGCCATCCTAGAAGAGCTAATGTCCTAGCTGGGAACATTATATGTCACATAAACACATGCGTCATGAACAAATATAGCATCAGGAGGTGGCAAGTGCCATGAAGAAAAGTAAAAGTGATGGGGGTGACTTGGGAGGTGGGAGCTACTCTAGAGAAGAGGTCAGGGCAGCTTCTCTGAGAGTCAGAGAACTTAAGAGTGTCTGGGGAAAGAAATTTTAGGCAGAGGGAACAGCAAACATGGGGACTTTAAGATGAGAATGTGTTTGGCACATTCCGAGGATGACAAGGAGGCAGCTGAGGCTGCAGTGAAATGAACTGGGGGCAAAAGGGGAAGAAATTCGGTCATAAAGCCACCAGGGGTTGGAGAACCATGAGGTTTTGCAGGGAGAATGACCAGCCTTCCTTTCCTTTCCCTTTTCTGCTCCCCGTATGTGTTAGTTTCCTGGGGTTGGTATAGCAAATTACCATGGACTGGTGGTGTAGAACCCAGAAATTTTAAAAAAGATTTTATTCATTTATTTTTAGAGAGAGGGGAAGGGAAGGAGAAGGAGAGGGAGAGAAACATCAATGTGTGGGTGCCTCTCACATACTCCCTACTGGGGACCAGGCCCGCAACCCAGGCATGTGCCCTGGCTGGGAATCCAACTGTCCGCCCTTTGGCTCGCAGGCTGGCACTCAATCCACGGAGCCACACCAGCCAGGGCTAGAACCCAGAAATTTATTTTCTCACAGCTGTGAAGACCAGAAGTCCAAGATCAGTGTGTCAGCAGGGCCACACTCCCTCCAATGGCTCCAGGGTAGAATCCATTTTTGCCTTTTTCAGCTTCTGGTGGCTCAAGGATTTTACTGGTTTGTGACTGCATCGCTCCAGTCTCTGCCTCCTTCTTCATGTGGCCTTCGCCTCTTCTTCCTCTGCCTCTTTCCATTTTTGTTTCTTTTAAGGATACTTGTTATTGTATTCAGGATTTAGGGTCCGCCTGGATCAACTCATCGCAAAATCCTTAATTGCATCTACAAAGACCCTTTTTTCCGATAAGATCACAATTACAGGTTCTGAAGTTAGGACATGGATATTTCTTTGGTGGGGGAGTCATCATGATTCAACACTGCACTTCATTTTTGCAGGATCCAAGGCAGAGCCGACTGTGGCCTGCCTGGGTTTCAGTTTCCATCTCTGTAAAAGAAGGCAGTAGCCTAGGCTCCTAGGATTGTCAAGAGGGAGAGATATAATCAGGAATGTAAAATACTTTCAACAGCAACTGACAAATAATAGGTGCTCAATTACAAATTGTTATTATCTGAGTAATGTCCCCATGAAATTAGGTCACTT